AGATGATTCAAAAACAACTTATTATAATATATTTATGAAAAATTTAAACATAGTCTATAAATATTATAAATTATACTTTATAATAAATTCTTTCTAACATTTCTTGAGATGGAGTATGTAAAAGCTCAACAACACAGTTCATCTCGCACCTACAAGCACCATCTTTTGCCAGATTGATAATTAATTACTTTCCCAAATGAACGTTGTACAATGTAATATAATGTTGGTCCTGTTAGATTTTTTCATTCTAATAAAACCATTAATGTTGGTATACTGCAGAGTTAAAATTCAAAACTAGCTGATTAAAAAGAAAAATGACATCAATACAATAGGTAAAAAAACCCTAAAGATGAAAAATAGAAAAAAAAAATTAAATATGTTAAAATTATATTCCACAGTATTATTAACCCTCCTTATTTCACGTCAGGTTCCAGCATTAATTTCTGTTCTGAAGAAATTAATTAAAAAAATTCTAAAAATTTAATTTAGTAAAACAATTTGATTCATTTAATGAATAATTAATTGAACTATATTAATTGATAATATCAAATTTAAGGTTTAAATTAACTTTTTAATTTTCTTTCTTTTAAGTGAGAGGTTAGGGTGAGAAATTGCTTAAACAAATAATATTGACCGCGTAAATTAATTGTAGAACTTATTGAAGTTTAATTTGTGATTTCAAATTTGAGTCATAATAAATCTAATAAAAATAAATTACCTTGGCACCTCTTAAAATTTAATAAAATTTCATTTAATACACTTTCTTTTTATCGTACACATCTTTTAAAATTGATGTTACAGTATAATGTTATACATTATTTTGGATTATATAAATTATCATAATTTATTGTATAAATATATGAATTCTGAGGGTTTGAATGTGAATGTAATCTGGCCATGGATTAATTAAACAGAGTATTTTAAAAATTTGTTATTTTTATAGTCAACTGTTAACAAAACAAAGCACAAAATTGGAGTCCTTAGTAAAGGAAAGAAGAGAATCTTTTTGGTACACTTTTGGCTGCACTTTCTGGCGTGAGATGGCAAAATGAGAAAGAAAACAAAATAAAGTAAAAGGAGTAAAAGCAAGTATGTATGTGGCGCAGAGCCCTCGCACAAGTGACCATCATAATTGTTATTGTTATTCCATTTATTTATTTCGTTTTCCAATTGCCAAAGTACAAAAAGGATTCTGAGTACCAGCATATTCCTTCGAATGTTCTATTTCCCCCCTTTAATCTTTCCAAACCTTTAATCATTAATCTATTCCATAATGCTAATTCTAAATGCATACAGTCAAATCACTATTATTATATTTTTTATAACACCCTTTTGTTAATTTTAAATAACAAAATAAATACATTTAATATCTTCAAAACATAAAACTGTTCAAATAAGATTCAGGATCAAAGGCTATTTATAAATGAATCATTCTCCAACCTACCAAAGGGACCACTAAAATATATACTACTATCTTATTATCTTAGATGCAATGAACTCAACAACACTCTGAACTTCAATAAAACTTAAACTCGTTTTGCATATATCAAAGTTTAGATTCGAGCAAGCAGAATAGAAACATAATTTATGTTTCATTTTAGTTCATTAACATTAATATCAAGGCTAAAATAACTTTATTTATTTATCACTGATATCAAAGTTAAAATAAAATGCCAAGAAATTTTTCAAAACCGTAAACAATAACAATTAGAGTTACAAAAAGAAAAGATAAATAATTTTATAAATTAAATAAAATTTATAATATGTTTTGTACGACAGTCCAATTTCTCTACTATACAACTAAGTTTTGTACAGTTTCAAAAAGTATAAAACATTGGATTGGATATTTCAAAAGTGATAAGTCTAAACTTTTCCTATTTTCAAGTATCTTAATCGTGCTGATACCACTAATTGAAGATATTAATACGGTTTAACGTTTGGGGCCGTAATTAATAATTGTACTCCTGGCATTGTCGTGTGATATACTCCATTAAGTAAGTCAATTGCAATTTTTCTCTAAACTCCTGTTTGCTTTTTACGTTAGTTTAGTGCGAGTTTTAAAAACTAAAATTAACGGTAAGTACGATTTCTGTAGAATCAATTTTGCCATTTCTAATTGAAAATCAATCAAGCACTAGATTAGCAAATTAAAATTTGAGCCTGATATGTTGTAATTCTATACCAAACCTATTTTAGTTATGTGATACTCTTAATTAACCGTTAATGTTTGTTCATTTTCAAATTAGATAAAATTAATTTTAAACTAGTAAAAATAAAAATATGTTAAAATTTAATTTTGAACTAGTAAAAATATATTTTTAAATTAATACGAAGTTATTTAAAATTACTCCTAATTGTATAATGTCTTGAACATGCATGTGCTGAGAAAGAACTGAATTCTCAATCTAAAAGTTAATTTTATTTACCAGTTTACTTGTAAAATATTTTTCATCACAAAAAACGAGAGATGAGAAAGGATTTAACTTGTCAAGTTCATTTAACCTATTAAATTTGACAAACTGAAATAAAATTTTAGATTCATCAACTCACTTGATTCATAGTTTTAAACATAGTAAACATAGGTGGGATGAGTTGACCCATGGTGTTAATTTTTTTTAAAAAAAAAACAAAATCAACCCACCAACCTCAAAATAAAACGGAACAAGTTGAGATAATTAATTTTTGATGAGCTTAAGAGATAGGAACTAAAATGGGAGAAGTTAAACCATTTTCCCATCTTACCATAATGATACTAAAATTAGATTATATAACTTTTTTAAAAGAGAATGATGAGATGAGTAGTCAAATTATAGGAATTCTAGACAACGTAAGAGCTTAGGAGAGCCAACTAAGGGAGCACGAGAAGCATCAGTGTCAACAATAGGACATGGTGAAAAGGTTAATAGGTAATATGTCATTCTCATTCACCAATTAAATATATTTCCACGTATTGTTTGTCTGGCATGGTACCCACAAATCAACTTAAATCCTTCACAAAATGAATGGTAATGCATCAACATTGTGAGGAACTTTCAGATGTAACTACTATTCTCTTAATTACTTGGTGAGTCTACAAATGATCATAAAATATGTACATTGAAACTATCATTTGTTTATAATCATCGACCAATTAAATTAATAATACTAATTGAAATGGAATAAAAGCTTTCTCAAGATTAGTGCCGTTACGCTTTCCTCGATAATTCTTCTTGTGTATGTTCTTTTCCTGTTGGGCTCAGTTCTAGCTTTGATCGCCACAGTGATCGAAATCATCCATGTGATATTTTCATTCAATTTAAAAGTTATATTAAAGATATATTCTGATTATTAATAATATAAAAACTTTTACATCAACAATATATCGAACTTAAACTCGTTTTAAATACTTAAAATTTTGTTTAATATGCACAACAGTTCTTGCGGGAAACAACAAAAAGTGCTTGAGTCAAAATTAATTTCACTCTCCAATATATCATTATAACGTAAATAATTTGTCTAGAACTATCAAAACGTGTAAGAATAGCATTCTCTTTCACTCAAACAATTTCAAGCAACGATGAGGTTATATATTTGACATTTTAATTTTTTAGTTAATTTCATTTGTAGAGTACTTTTAAATTTTACACGTTAAAAATTATTTTGTTCACGCGTATTATGAATAGTATTCTGTTCTACTACGACAATTTCAGGTGAATGCGTCATATTTTTTACTTTTGTTGGGCCTTGGATAATTTCATTTATAAATTTTTTTATATATTTTCAATAATAAATATTGATTTCTCACACATAATACAATAATAAATATTTATATCTCTTTATAAGGCTAAAAATTATCAAGCATATTGATCAAAATTTAATGATTGGTTGTATGTATGATAAATACTTTATAAGAAAAAATATGTGTTTCATGTTAGTATTTTTTTACGCCTAAAAATTAACTTGTGAAATAAAAATAATAATAAATTTAATAATTTCATTATGATTAATATTCAATCTTAATCTTTTAATAAAATTTTGTTTAAATATATTTCATGAACTTTTTGATAATTACAATTAAGTCATTTCATCACTTTTTCTTTCATAGTATTTTTTATTCAATAAATTTAATAAAAATACATTAATAATATACGATATTTTATATTATCATTAATCACAAACGATTGTATAATTATTTTTGCACCGACAGTTTATCAAAATTAAATTCCTATTTAAATGATTTAAATTCTTTGATAGATCAAATATTAAAGAAATATTTAAAAGTTTTGAAAAAAATTGCAAAATGTAAGATTAAGATTAAGATTTTAAAGTGAAAATTTTTAAAATAATATAATATTTAAAATAATAAAATTTGAAGAAAATAAGAATAATTTAACATGTTTAGGAAAAAATTGAGAAAAAAATAAAAATTTAAGTAAAAGAATAAAAAGAAAAACTTAATTGCAGAAATTAAATAACCTAAAGAGCTCGTTGGTAAACGTTAAAAGGTTGACGGGTTAAATCCAAACAGAACATTATTGATAGATCAAAATCACATATTGGTTAATAGAAAATGCTAACAATGTATTCTAATACACTATTTATTATTATTAATTAATTAGAATTCACAAAATGAAAAATTCATATTATTTCATGAACTAGAATACACTTTAATTATAAATAAATATACATTATTAACAATCTTATTGAATGAAAGAAGCATATAGATTTGCAAAATGTAACTGAGCTCCTGTTTGAAGGGGTTCCTTCCTTTTACCTATTTACAAAAGAAAAAAGAAAGCAGTGTGTGCTGTGCTGACATAATAATATATAATTGGTAGCAACTGCTGAGACACTGCGTACCAAATGTGTATATATAGGTAACAGCTCCCTCTTTCATTTCACCTCTTCATTCTACTATATCTCTCTCTCTCTCTCTCTCGGAGCCAAATAACCATTAAGCAATTTTCCATTCACCACTCAAAAAAGCTATTCAGTTTCGGCCTTCAAAGTTCAATGCCACCCTAAGGAATATCCTCTTTGATCCCAAGTCCCAACCCTTTCTTTATATTTATTATTATTATTATTATTATTATTATTATTTATTATATAAACTCACACACACTCAAAACCTTCCCTCACCTCCTATTCCTCTTTCTCTCTCTCTCTCCTCTTCAAAACAAAACAAAGCAAAAAAAAAAAAAAAAGTTTCAAACTTTGATATGCAAGTGGCAGCAGAACTCCAACACACCCATCACCACAAGCGCCAAGACACCCAGATGTGCCGGAAAATCCAACTCAGTATCACCGATCACAACCTCTCTCACGCCGCCGCCGGCGACGGTGCCGGTGACAAGGTCGACGGCGAGGATCTCTATATTCCACCCCTCAATTTTGCTATGGTTGATAATGGCATTTTCCGCTCTGGCTTCCCTGAACCTGCTAACTTCTCCTTCCTTCAAACCCTTGGCCTCCGTTCCATTATGTACGTATATAATATACTCATCAATCATCTCTTTGCTTTTTGTGCACATGTGTGTTTGTGTCGGTGTTTATTGATGTTTTTGTGCTTGGTTTCAAGTACCTAATTGCTGAATTGTGAGTAAAGTCTCTTCCTTGCATGCTGTTGCTGATTGTTTCTTTGATTGGTTCTTTTGATAGATATTTGTGTCCTGAGCCATATCCAGAGGCCAACATGGAGTTCCTCAAGTCAAATGGGATCAAGCTTTATCACTTTGGGATTGAGGGTCACAAGGTGTCTAATCTTTCTATGTCTTCAACCCCTTTTTTTGTTGGTTTTTTTATTGTGAGTTCATTTGCCTTCTTTTTTTTTTTTTTTTTCATTTTGGGTTGGTCTATGTTGGGTCTGATTGTTTTAAGTTCAGCTTGATTGTGGTTGTTCTTTGTCTTGATAATTTGCACTATGTTCACAGCCAAAAAAAAATGATTGGCTTGCACAAAGATCAATGGATACCCAATCCAATTGACCTGTCTTTCTCATCCCATACTATATTCTGTGTTTTTATTTTCTAGAGGTAGGTGTGGATAATTAGTGACCTGGTGAACTGGGACCATTATATGAATGCTTTGGCTTGAAGTACTGTTTAATCAAATGGGTTGCTATGAAAGGGCTTTGAAGGAAGAAAAAAAAAGGGACGTAAAGCTGGTTTTGTCATTATTTTTTCAGCAACTTGTTTACTCACTATTCTTCTTGCTCCTCCTCCTCCTTCTATTCTTGCTTCATTTTTCTAGTATAACTTTTTAAAATGTCCTAACTTTATAGAGTGCTTTAAAAAAATCTTTGATTGGAAACTTTTGCTTGCTTGCTATATTTTACTATCACAGCTTTTTGGGTACCATTATTATATTGTCGTGTCATTTTTGGTCTCGTGATTTATCCCGATTAGATCCATTGTTTTATTTCTTGAGCATATTTCTCTGTAAGAGAGTCCTCTTCAATCTTCATCCGTATGTGCACAGTGGAAGTATAGCATACCAACTTTAGAATGTGGAAATCACGGTTGATGATGGGATCCGAGCTGGTGTGTCTTTTCCATGGTTATCTAAAATTATCACAATCATTTGTTTTTTGAGAATAATTAATGGTTAGAGATTATAGATTATACTTGCTGTCTGTATAATGGGACCATTATGGAAATCTCAAAAATCGATTCTGTTCAAGAAGAGCACGAATTTGCCATTTGATAATGCAAGTACAAGGTAAAAAGAAAGGCGAAAGGAATCAATTGTACAGAAGTAGCACCAAAATCATGATCAACCCTATGAAAGACAAGTCAAGGAAGAACAAATCGTCAAAGTATAGAGAATATTTCATTAGTCCATTTAGATATGGAATTTATGTGTTATTGGTGGATTAGGGCATATGGTATGTTGAATTAATGTAGAGAATACTGTGTGTTCATAATATTGTTGAATTGTCGACATTATTCTGCGTATTTAATTATGGACCAATCTATGTGTCAAGGAAAACAAGAATAAACAGTAGTATTATTGAAGCCATCCTTGATTATGATATCTATCTAGCCTTTCTTTCCTTAATTTTGGAATTGTTGTCATGCCTTTTTGCCTATCTTTTATTTTTTGGAACCTCTTTTTTGATTTGAAGACCCTTCTTGTGTGTTAATTTTCATGTTTATTCCGCATCTGTTTCCATCAATGGAAAACTTGATGGTCAGATGAATGAGAATCTCATGTATACTGTGTAAGATCAAGGTCTGGATATTAACAACCTAATTATATCTTCTTTTAGATCCCATAAGTCGTTCCGTCAATCAATATAGTTGATAAAATTTCCAAACATCATCTTCAAATTGTGTTAGCCACAACCTCTGCTGCCCCCTTCCTTTCTCGCCAACAAGTTTAGTTGATAAAAAATGAAGACTTTTTATTTTATGTTGACATAGCGAGTTTTTGATAATCTGAAATCATATTTAACCTTATGAAGCGTGTGCATCCAGGAACCTTTTGTGAACATCCCAGAGGACACAATCCGTGAAGCTCTGAAAGTTGTCCTTGGTATGATGCAGCTCTTTTCATTTATTCTTAACTAAAATTTCAATAACTTGTTTTGCCAGCAATAACTTTTTATGATTGATATGCAGATGTCAGGAACCACCCAGTCATAATTCACTGTAAGCGAGGAAAGGTGAGATTTTTGCTTGAAATTTTTGTAATATCTACCTGATAAGAGATTTTGTTTGTTGAAGTATGTAGTTTCTTCTTTTGTTTTTGTGTGTGCAGCATCGAACAGGATGTTTAGTAGGATGCTATAGAAAATTGCAAAAATGGTGCTTGTCATCTGTCTTTGACGAGTACCAGCGCTTTGCGGCTGCGAAAACAAGAGTTTCAGATCAGAGGTTTGTAGAGTTGTTTGATATTTCCAGCCTGAAGCATTTGCCCATATCATTTTCTTGTTTGAAGAGGTAACAGACCAAGTTATGGTGAGTTGGGATTCCTTTCTTTAGTTTGTGAAAGTGAATCCCTTGTTCTTCCTTTGAATAAATAGGAAAAGGTGATGAACTCCTTCAATGCATTTAAGCAGCAAAGGAATAATTCTTCTTCTCCCATTTTTAAAATAAGATAAGAAAATCCAGAAGTAGTAGAGCATTGCCTGTATCTGTATGTGTTAAAACCCTTCTCTCCCTATTTGGCCTTTTGTTCTATTTTCTTTCTTTGTTTTATGTTTTCTTTGCTGCTCCCCATTCATCAACAATGAGTGTAGATATATCTTGATTTATTCTCGAGGCTCTGAGAAATTCAAGAAAGCAAGAAAAGAACCTTGTTTGTCTACCCCAAAATCTTGGTGGGTAGTAGAGCAGAGAAACTTATAATTTTTATTTTCTAAATTCATATTGCTTTCCTTTATTTTGAGTCTACCCGAAAATCATATAATATACTTGTAAGTGGAATTTTTATGCATCATTTTTAAAAGCTAAGGAGCAAGCAACACTTAAATGTAAGAAGAATTGTTCTTAATCTCTTGCAATATCTTTTTATTCACAAAATAAAGTGTAAGGAAGAAGGGAGACACGGTTTGAAATGGCAATGATAATGAGAGATAGATACGCAATTTTGGCATGAGAATATCATGAAGAATTTTAAGATGAGAAAATTTATCATCAACGTATTGAAATGGAAATAGATGAAAGGAAGTGAATAATTTCTAAACTTATCAAGATCAACGTTGTTTTCTCTTGAAATAGAAGTTAAAGTGGATGTCACACATATTAATGTTTGGTGAAGTGATATTACAGCCCGTAATTTGTATATATCCATTCATCTTGTATTACTCTGTTTAATCTTTACAATTATCTTCTTCTCCCGTTTCACACTACCTTTTATTAAATGTGCTTGTTTGATCAACTTCGTAAATAACCCGTAAGTTCTGCTACTAGTTCTGTTAGACTCTCGTCATGTTATTTTTTTTTTCTTGATTAAAAAAACATTTTGAATAAAACGTTTTCTAAGAAAGTGATTTAGCTAGAAATAGAATTTTGTTGTCAAAATGTATTTAGAAGTAGAAAAGTGTTTGCCACGGCATATGGCCATAATTATTTGCATGCATATACTTAACATTATTTTATAAACAAATATATTCTATATATCTATTTTTAGACTCCAATTGGTTAACAAAAACAAAGTTGTAACAATACCGAAGAACATTTTGGGCTCCGTTTTCACGACGAGTTGCATGAGAAAATCATTGAATTGGAATTTAACAACTTTATCATGTTTAACTAGTTTTTTTTTATTAATAATTACAATTCTATTTTTTTTAGTTATAAGTTAGTCATAATCATGCTATTATTAGAATAATGAGTTATTCCTATAATTGAAATTTAAACCATTATTCGGTATTTGAGTTGTGATATCCTACGGTCTATCCATAGTGAAAATAATAAGAAAATTCTTGGTATCAAACATGGTAGTCGAAGAAAGGAAAATTTATGTAATTCCAAGGTAAAGAATTTTACACTTAAATCAAACGATATATCAATTACGCTATTATTATTTATCGAAGTTGAAATATTATTAGTATAATTAAGTTTACGAAGTATAATGTCAATATATGATTCAGAAAAATACTGACGGCTTTACATTGACACTTTATTGAAATTCAACTCTGAGAAAATCAAACTTTCTTTTTCATCTATTTTACTCCATATATGTGGATTCTCTTTTTGTTTAGTCTCAGTTCGTCATCTCCTCTATTCTTTCGCCTTTTTCAAGCTTTTCTTAAATGTAGAAACGCTAAGTGAATTATCTGAACATCACTATATTTGAACAACACAACACAATATAAGAATGCTAAAGCATAATTAGAATTATCAGATTTAGTTTAAAACAATACTGTTTTTTTTTTTTCCTTTTGTTTTTTTGCTTTATCGTTTCTTTTTCTAAAGTTCTTTATGGTAATTTTATATTTGACAAATGAAGTGATTATTTTGGTACATAATTTATTTTCAGATTGGACTAAAACTAAGAGGTGCTTGCAATGGCGAATGTTGATGGATTATTGAAGATCTGTAGAATTACAATAGAAGTGGTGTGAATCAAGCATTATGGCACTACCCGGGGCTTAAAGTTTAGGTCAGTTGGATGTAGATTTCAGGCATGTTCTTAATGGCAAATGTATTGGTCGGTCGATTAGCATTTTTTTTTTGCAGGAATTAGGTTCAAGAAGTGCCTACCTTGGATTTTTCCTGTTCTTGCTTCTGTAGTTTGTGGTTCCTAAAAATCGTCTTTGATGTTTAGCACAGTCGACATGTGTAATGAAAATCTCAGTTAGTTACATTATTTGAAGATAGAAAATTAGTAAGTGCGATATTGTGTATAATTATTTATATTTATATTTTCTCATATAGGAATATTAAAAATATTTTTTTTAAATATATATTATCCTATTTTCATGTTCACTAGACAAAACATTCTCCAGTTTAAATACGTAAGGCATGACTTTTATGCATGTCATATTGAAATGAACGGTTAACAAAATAAAAATCTATAGTTTATCATTCTCTTTATTATATTATTTTTACGATCACATCTTAATGATAAACAAAAATAATATTAATAGGTATAAGTGTAAGGTAATATATATAAGTGATAAGCATTCTATGCCCTAAATTTGGCGTTGAAAAAGTTTGAAAATTAAGGGATAAGATTAGTTCCCTTGTATTATACATTAGATATGAATGGTTAAAAGAAAATTCTCACAGTTTTATTAATTCATACTTTAGTCACTTGTTAAATGGGCCAAACTTACATTTTTTTCATTCCTATTTTTTTTATTTCTTTATTATTGACTTCTAATTCCTTCATTTTTGTCTTTTTCATTAGTATTTAGAGATGAGAATAGGTTAAATGTCTACAAAAGTTTATGACTTAATTTTCATCAACCTTATTTATTAAGGAAATAGAGAAGATTTTTTTTAAATAAAATTCTATTATGCCTAACTTGTGACTTTAAATAATAAATAATAATAATAATAATTAATTAATTATATAATTTCAATTTTTTATGGATGATTTTAAGAAGGTAAAAATAGGAATTTTTTATTAAAAATTGTTTACCATACTTTTATAACTTTATTATAAATATATTTTTTAAATAAAAATTTATTAATTTTAAATGCTTAAACTTAATCTTAAAGGTTAAAATTAATAAAACATAATAATAAAATAATTTTTGTATTAATCTATTTAAATATATATTTTTAACTTATTTAAAAGATTTTACTATAAAGTAAGTTTTTTTTAAAATTCCTGTTCGTTCAAACTTATTAAAATTAATGTCAGACTTTAAGATAAGGTTTATATGAGTTATTGAAAAATAGGATAAGTTTATTTAAGATAAAACATAATTTAATATAACCTATTTCCATCCCAATTTTGTTAGAAAGGCCTAATAAACTATGTTTGAAAATATGTTAAATATTTTAATTCTTTTAAAGCCTATAAATTTAAGATAAATTTAGGTGCTGTATTTTGCTTGATTTTAATATTATTCTCTAATAAAAATTAGAATTTCACTTTAGTATAATAAAGTTTGATATCAAATGTTGAGATAAGTTATTGAAATAAAATTTCAAATAATTGGAGAATAATACGAAAAGAATCTAAAGGTTTATTTGGAGTAGTTATTAGTTTTAACTTTATAATTTTAAATTTAATTCGGACTTTGAAATTCAAACTACATAAATCATTTATCATTTTGTCATTTGAGCTAGTTTGATTATGATGGTAATCACGATGATAATAATATTAACAATTAATTTACTTAATTAACTGTTGCAATGCCGACAATAACACTATAATGATCTTTCCGAAACATGGAGGAAATTAAATAATTAGTAGTACCATTGCAATTTGCACCTCACCTTATTGCGCAACAAAAGTGTGGTGTGTACATTGTATGGCACTGAATGAAGCACTGTGCAGAACAGTAAAAAGTTTGAACAATGGCGTGGCGTATGTGATTGTTGCACAAAACAGTAGTTGCTCCCACTCCATAGCCAAGAGTTAAGTCGTCATGCCATCTTTAGAGCCAACTGCAGAAAATTTTTCTGCAACACTCTTTTGATTTTTGTTCCCAACAGAGAATTATGTTTTGAAGGATTTTTTCTTGTCAAAGATAATTCCATTAAAGGTCAATAGAAAGTTAAACTCTACTTACTACTCGAAACGATAATGACACAACCATTTTGCATTGTTATAACATATATCATTTCAACTTGAAGGTTTTAAGTCTAAATGTCAATGGGTTTTAATCTTTTGCTTTGTAATTTGGGCTGGACTTGTTTCCGTCTTCTACTGGACTAACACTTGTTTCTTTGCTTTTCTCAAGTGGTTTTGTTTTGTTTTTGGTTTTCGTTTATTAATAAAATCAAAATTTACATATAATCATTGATAATATTTTTTTCTTTATAGTTAACTTTCTTAATTTTTATATAAATTGACATGGTGTTTTAAATTAATTTATTGCCAATTTTTAGTGTATTTAATATAAAATTTAAAATAATTAATTTCACTGGAAAATTCTAAGTGGGTTTAAAATAATTGAATTAAAAATAATTGCATTTCTGAAACGATAATAGTAGTTTTGAAACAATGGAAAAAGTTTAAAAAGTGTATAGTTTTGGAATGGAGGAATGTTTAAGAGAGGTGATACATTTTTTCAACTGAGAGTAACATAAACGTAATTAATGATATTATCAATGAAAGTCAATGTAAATATCTCTACATATATTTTTGATTGATGATGGCAAAGCAATGGCGAAGTGTAAAGAGGTCATTGTTGAGGCAAAACTTAAGTTGGAAGATGACAATGTCCTTATAGTGGTTAATGTAACCGTACAAAGTGGAAAAGGACAGTGAAGAGAAACAGGAGAAGCAATTGCAAAAGGAGTTGATTTATATGGCCACATTTGTGGACTATATTAAGCAATAATGAATGAAATTTCATGGGTTCCTTAATTAGTTCAACTAATCATTTGTTTCTCTGAATTTTAATTAAAATTTATTGTCATTTCACTGCTTTCTTATGATTAATTGGGGGACATTTTAAATGTAGGAAGAAACCAAGAGAGTGAGAGCAAATAATTAAGAAAATCGTGATTAGACTTGATGTAAAAATAGAGAGAATCGATCATAAGTAAGTTGAACATACGAAGAAAAAGATAATGAGGTTTGTAATATTGACTGAAGACTTTGATATTCTACTACTGATCGACATGCATCGTTTTTATGTCCAAAACTTAGGGTTTTGTTCTCATTAATTCTTGCCCATTTATCATAAATACGAAATTAACAAACTTTTTACCGACATTAATCATATCACACTTGGTGCGGCAAATTCATCATGGATAATCTACTGGATTTTTCATTTATAGTTTGAGTTTTAATCTTGCAATTGATTGCTTTCTTTTGCTACATGACTTAGGATTTTCTCAGAAGCTTGACTTTTAGCTTCTAAATCCAGAAACCCACCTTTTATTTGACTATTAAATGCTCTCTCCAATTAAGGATGTCCTTAACCAAATTAGTCTGAACATCCTCCAGTACATTCACAGGATAATTTTGATATATAATCATCTTTTCATGTTGTAATAAAAGGAACAATATAGTATGAAATTCTTCATGAATGAATGAATCATATGGTGGTGGCCAGCGATGTCAGACTGGTAGTTAGTAGTTTAATTGAGTTCACTAGCAGGGAGCAATCATAATTCATAGAGATCAACATGGATAAGGTCTGAGTAGGATATAGAAATGGATAAGGGATCCCATTTTCATATTTGTGTTTAAGAATTTTTTTTTGCTACCTTGGTATTAATTTGAGTGCTCATTGTCTTATTTAATAGATACTAATCTAATACTTTTTTCAATCAAACAAACTAAGAAAAAATGTTATTTAAAAATTAAAATTAACTGTAAAATAAATAGAATTAAAAAATATATAGAGATCTTTTAAATTATAGTTGAAAAATATTATAAATTCACCACACACGCACACGATTAAGTACACTAAATGTTAAATTTTAAAATATTTAGTTTCTTTTTAATAAATATTATATTTTATCACTTCTATAATTATATTAAAAGTTTTAATAAAATATATTAAGTATAAAAATTATATAATTTTAAAATTATTTAATATTTCATCACATAATTATCTTAATGCATATTATATTTTTAAAATATACACGTATTTTTACTATTAAAATACATGTAAGTATTATGATGTCAAACAATACAATAATAGATAATACTTTAGATTCAAATTAAAAATAATATTATCGGGTCCCTAATTATAACTTTACCAAACAAATAAGTGATTCATATATATATTTTTTAATATGTAAAATTGATTGACTAAAGAGAAGTGGTCCAAATCGACTACCAAAATCTGACAAAATAAAGAATTGCGTACAGAAAGCACCATTAATGGATCCAACAAACAGTATTTGGGTAAATGTCTAGGAAGCCTATGTGGCCCAAAAAACCATCTATGATTACGTTTACACGATGGAGAAATAGTGTTTTAAGTTTAATGAATCGTTCGTGACATATAAAACACTCACAGGTTAATCAATCAGACATTATGGCTTTATGGTTAAGTTTAATGAATTCAATCAAGGTTCACAAATAATTATGAAAATATTAATATCATTTTTTTTTATGAAATTAACATATATGGCACTTAAAGATAGTCTAACAACTGAAATTAACTGTAAAAATTGAAGCCATTAAAAAAATGAAATGGGTTCAAAGCTCATTTTAATATATTTCCATAACATAAAAAATTTCATATAATAGAGTGTACTTATTCAAAGAAGGTATCCTTTTGGCAACCTGCACCTCTTTAGACGGCGGAAAGGTTGCTTTGGCACTTGGATACTTTTTCTTTCTTTGAGAAATTCCCACTTAGATACTTCACACTAGCAAAGAAGCACATTTCAAAAACAGAGATTAGAAGTGTTTGATTGAGTTTAAATTTATGTAGAATTCATTTTAATAAAAAAGTATGAATTTTTTAAAACTATAAATAGATTTTTTTAATTATGTAAAAATCATTCAAAACTATTATTTAATCTTATTTAGTATTTACTATAAAATTAGTTTAGAATTTGTAATTGTTTTTTTTACAAAATAAAAAAATTGTTTAAGATAAGCAACATTTTAAAATTTATAATTAAAACTAGATAATATTACATAAAAAATTATATTTTTTTATAATTTTATTATAAAAAGTGATTTTTATATAATCTAAATCAAATATATTATTTTGAAATCACACAGAGAGACCCATAATTTTACATATTCATGTTTACACGTATGTGAGTTCCTCCTCTGTCTGTCTTGGTTGAAACAATTCATGGCCAATGTTATGATTATAAGCAAGCAAATAACTGGATTGTTACTAAGCCACTGCATCTTTCCACAAAATCCTAGCTTTCGGCTTTTAAAAGTATACTATAAAAGGTGGCTTCTCATTAATTTCTTCACTTTCCAAAGTTGAATACTTACGTGGATGACAACCTCCAATGTCTTTAAGAAATCACGTGTAAGGAATTATCATGATGTTATATTTGTGGAATCAAATTTGATGAATTTTCTTCTTGATGTGGATGTGATGTTATATTTGTGGTTCTGCTCTCTTCTTTAGCTCTCCAGTTACGCTATTTGGAATTTTTCAAAGCAAAACTATAATAGTACAAATGGTGTCACTCGTTATCATGGCCAAAACATTTTTATAAAATTTGATTTTTTTTAAGTTCATTTTTAAGAATGAATAATTATACTTTAATTTTGAATGTAATTATTTAATACATAAATATTACACATCAAATATTTTCTTAAACTATAGTAAATAAATACAGACAAACACCATTAGATTTAAATTCAATCTCATTTAAATCGGTAGTCTTTGTATATCTCATGATTAGGTGAATATATATAATGGAGAATGTTGGGAGTTTGTAGATATCTAAAGCATGTTAAATACAATTGCTCGGAAATGACTGTTAAAAGGATAATATTTTTTATATTTTTCCATGCAGAGTGCAAAGCTCAATAACACAATAAAAAATTATACTTTTTGAAGAGGGTATTTGAATTTAATAAAACAAAGGAGTACGTAGAGGAAGTGGTGGAGAGCCCTTAGAAGATTATTAGATAGCTACGTCACAACCATACCAGGATCAAGTGGGGAGTAGCTGTGAGTTTTTAATTTATAGTTTTTAAATATAAACTTTCAAATTAAATATTCTTTGTTAAAATATATTTTTAAATAAATTTATTTCATTTTTTTAAATTAAATTAATAGTTGTGGTGAGTTTTTAGTTGCTTAAACAAATCATGCAACTCTTATTTCTATTAAAAGGCACATAACTATTATTATTACCATGATTGTTATCCTCACTGTCACTAATTAATTATCATTGTTAGAAGCTAATAATTTTATTATGACAATCCTTTTATCATTATAATTATTCTTACTATTGTAATCATAATAAAATTATTATTATTATTATAATAGTTTTGATGACAACTATAACAATCGCCCTCTACTACTACTGTGACTAATGTGGTTTTGTCTAAAATTATTAAATTGGTGTTGTTTTTACAAATATAATTGCTATTCTTTTTGTGCTTAATACATCGCTACTTTTTATTATCGCCAGTGTTACTCAGTATTTTTCTCTCTCTGTTTTCTTGTCAATATTATCACTTTATTACTAAACAAGTTTAAATCAAAAATAAAAAATAATTTTTTGTTATTTAATTTTAGGATTTATTACTGAAATCTAAAAATTTAAAAACAAAAGCACAAAAAGTAGACTAAGTTAGGAGTAGAGTTTTTATTTAAATTTCACTAATCGATCCTAAATGAACTTGCTCAGAATTGAATGTCACATCCTTGGGCGGGCCTACATATATTTTGAAGCGTGTTGACAGAGTTAGTCTTCCCGTAGAATAATGGTGGCCTTAACATTGTCGTGCATTCAATATCAGGAGGACACTATCATCGGTGGTCCAAAACACAAGTGGGCAATTTGGAACTCATATGAAGCCGAAAAATGGAAACTGAAATGATTACATATAGGCTATAGCCAAGAGGGAATGCATATTCTGCTATTTAAGTAAATATATTTTTAATAATATAACATTTTTGTTGACTATTTGATCATAGCACATATAATATGACATAATAGTTATTATTATATTCATTTGATGAACGTGCATACGCTGATTTCTTTACTTCTCCCAATGCAAACATCATTCTAGCTATAGTAAAACATGTTTAAACAGTTGCAATTGGGCCCATGTTAACATTTGACGCTTTCATGGCCTCAAATCTTGGTTCCTTAGCTTGAAACTTCAACCTAGCATAGAGCTGCATGTAGTCTTCAAACACAAATTTTGGGTACAGTTGGCTTTTCTCCTCTGCCTCTGTCTCCAACAATTCTGGAGCAGGGTAGATGACAGCATCACTGCCAGGGTTGTAGAATGAGGCTATGGACATTCTGGTCCCATCAGTTTGTGCTATCACACGATGCTCCACACTCTTGTACTTACCATTGGTGATAACCTGTTTTTTAACCATAAGGGTCATTTTATTACATCTAACATGTTTGTGGAAATGTCTATGAGGCTAATATATTTGTAGTAAAAATAAATTTACCTCAAGTTGGTCACCAATGTTGACAACAATTGAGTGGCGCATAGGGGGCACATCCACCCACTGACCATCTTTGAGCAGCTGTAGGCCACTGACCTTGTCATCCTGGAAGAGAAGGATGATCCCGCCTGCATCGGTGTGGGGACGAAGACCCTTCACCAGCTCTGGATTGGGGCATGGAGGGTAGTTGGCAACCTTGGTGCCAAAAGTTGGTCCTCTTGATCCATAGAAGGCCTTCTTGAGGTATCCTTTCTCTAGGCCAAGATTCTCACATAACAAGTCCAACAGCTCCTCTGATAGCTTCTCGATCCTCAAAGCAAATTCCTTCATCACCTTCCTGCACCATTGCCTCAATTATGTTAGAATCGAGGGGAAGAAATATATTATTATATACAGCTGTAGTTTTGCTTCTGAAATACACAGGTCCTTCTTGCATATATATTTGTTGAAGTCATTATGTGGTGATATGTAGGTACATTAATGAAACAAAATGTTTGGGACCTGTGCTCACATGTTCATGGGACTTTTGCTTGTAAAGTCAAAACCACGGTGCAACTTGTGTCAATTATTTGTGATTTTGGGCTAACTTGCATTTGTAAAACATTATATGTCATGCAAATGTGTAATGTCATAGATGTTTGTTTTGTGTAACCTGTACTCATCAGTGAGATCAGGGATCTCTGAGATGTTTGATTCCGGGAGGTGGCGCAAGTGGAAGGTGCTCTCCCAGTCCATATCTTTGACCTCATTTTGAACAGCCTCGAGGCCTTTGCTTGCCACTAGTTCTTTAAATCTCTGTTCCATGCATATCTTGTAATGCTCTTTGGTCAATCTCTCCACGGTATCCATTAGGTCATGGGGTAAGCCATGATTAATCAGCTGAAGAGTTTTGAAAACAAACAAACAATAAGAAGAAATATTAAGTACCAAGAGAGTCACAAGAACTAACAAGAACATATATTTGGAGGGCAATGTAGAAATGAATGAGATAAGAAAAGTTTTGTTGGGTTCTTGAGGTACCTCAAGGAATCCCCAGTTCTCACAAGCATCCTTTATTTTCTCCATGGTGTCTTTTCTCCCCTCACCATTGAGCTTCTCCAAGTTGATCACTGGGAAGTTTGTCATCTTTTAAAGTTTAAATGACTCAAAACCCACTCTCTTCCTATCTGCCTATTTCTCTTTTGCTCTATGCATATTTGAGTTTGCTAGGGTGGTATTTATAGACCTTTACATTAGGACCCAAAAAAATATCGCTTAATAATTGCACATATGTATTGTAAGTTTTTTTAGTGCAGCTTGTTTTTACCTTGGCTTTAGCCTTTAGTGCAAAATCACACATCAAACGTTTTCTTCTGGTTCCGTAGTTGAATTGCCTTGCCACTTTGACGAAGGTTGGACCCACTTGATGTCTGATTTCTCCTCTTGAAAATTTGACCAGAACCATACAAAGCTGCTTCCACTGTCTATCAATTCTCAAATTTTACTTTTCTCTCGATTTTTATTTTTGGGTATGAAGGTGGTTTCTAGGAAGGAGCATAGCCACTGCACTTCCCAAATCATAGCATTCTCACTTTAAAATAAGTTTGGACACGTGGATTTCTGGTCCTCTGCATTTAATTACTTGTATGTTTCCTTCCAACTAAAGAATTGTTTCATCTCCCAAAAATAGGTGTGAAATGGAATACTTACTAAAGGTGTCAGCTTGCTTACTTCGATTAGTATTTCATCTACATTAGAAATTTCTAAGTTAAAGGATAATTACAAAAAATAAAATATTTTGCATCCATTTTACACAATTAAGCAAATTCGGTCTTTGCGATACATTTGAAAATAAAATGTGGTCCTTGTTAAGAGCTTCCGTGTCATTCCTATCCATAATTTTAGTCATTGGTAACATCTTATTAAATTTGCATAGAACTCTTTAAGTAACTTCATTTATTTCCTCCTACGGTTTTCTATTAAGTTAAAATGGATGTGGAGATAGAACAGTATGTAGCTTGCATCTCATTGATTTTCTTCTATTTAAGAGCTTCAAATTCTCATTTTTTACTTGAATTCTTTACAAATTTAATCAGTTAAATTATCTTTTACTGAAAAATCACCAACTACAACATCAAATTTCATTCAAAATAAAAGAAAATTTTCATTTTTTTACTCTTGAAACTCTATTCTCACATATAAAATTATTCAATTTGAAAATACAAAAATAGAAAATGAATATAAAAAATATGAAAAAGATAAAATAAAATCATGATTAGAAACATACCAACATTACACTTAACACTAATGTGGAGAGTATCTTTGGTTGTCATTTTTCTTTTTTTGGGAGGTGAGCTTTTCCGATTGTTTGAAGCTTACAGTGTGGATCTTCTGCAGCCAGCCATGATGCTTTCTCTCCAGAAAAAGATTGCCTACTGTGAAATATAAAATTAACTAACAATAAAATATTAAAATTTTTATGACCACAAAAATCTCTGTACTGAAGTTGAACAACTCCTGGAGAGGATCTAGGTCTTATTTGCTAGTAGCATTCTTTCCCAACTGACAACCTCTCGCCCGTTGGATGTTTCAGCTTTTATAGAGGCTTCAGTTGTTTTTTTTCAATGTAAATATATAAATATAGTCATGTGATGTAATATTTAAATGGTGCATGAGAGACTAGTTATAATAATAGTTAGAGTATTTCTACTGAAAATAATAGATCGACAGTTTTTTTTAAATAAGTCAATAAAATTATAAAAATTTATTTTTATGTATAGTATAATTTTTTTTTGTATTATCTTATTTAAGTTAATTCAAATATTTATAAATAAATTAAAAATTATCATCCTACTTTCTAAAATAAATTAAAATATAGAATTTATATTAATTAACAATATATAATTACTAGATTTCAAGTTCTAGTCAAGCAATTAATTGTGTTCTTATATGTTATTTTATGATTATCACTTACTTGAACATTTAACTTTATCAAAATACTTTTAATTAAAAATTATATTAATCTCAATCTTTAATACTAAATTTAATCATTTAAAAGTAATAATTTTTTATTAAAAAATATTGACTACGTCAAAGTTATAAAAATATAATAAAATTTTTATTTTTAAATAATTTTTTAATACTATTAATTACTACAACTCAATCTTAAGAAATATTAAAAACATGTATCAATTGATAAATGGTTGTTCTAACTTAACACATAATTAATAATCAATATTAATAATTATCTAAATTTAATTAGTTAGCTTACTAATTTCTAACCTTTCACTTTTAAATAGTTTTCTCAAACATTTTTTTTAACTAAAACACTTATTTTAATTAATTAGATAATTATTTTTTAACTTACTTATTTATTGTTTATTATTTTTATCAAACACATAGAACACACTTGCAATTAATCCAATTATATACTTATATATTTATTCAAGCAATCTCATATATATATATTCTGTTCTATTCATGTAAATTATTAGATTCATAAATCTGGTAAAATACGATTTTAATTATAAAAATTCAAATTTCTTTAAATTTTTTAAAGAAAAAAAGCGTTAATATATAATATACAGCAGGAGAAATAAAAAAGCTTGTAAATAAATTTGGTCAGACATGGAAGGGATATGATCAATTCCCATAGAGTGGGATCTGTCTTTTTGACATTGCTCCACACATCGCTGTAGCCCCAATGTGAGGCTTGCCCAAGAATCCAAGATAAGAGAAGAGAACAACATCTATTTTTATCCATTTTATTAACATTAATTTTTAAATCATTTTTCAATATTAAAATTATCAAACATGTATTATTAAAAAGTATTTACTTTAGTAAGGGTATAATATATTTTTAATAAACAATTATTATTTTTAAATTCTTAAAATTAATATAAAAAGTGATGCTAACATTTTTTATTTTTTTAATAATAATTAAATTTAATTATAAGAAAAAAACTCTCTGGACTGGGTCGCACCAGTTAATCAAACTTAAACAACACTCTGATAGGAAATTCTACCTCTGAAATTTTTACACGTATTTTCAATAACTCTTTATCGAGTCACTTTTTAAATTTTAATAGCTCTCGTCCACCAAATTTATGTATTAGTTATGGGGATGTTTGATAGAATCATTTTTTTTAAGATTTTAAAAATTTTAAATAAAATATTAAATTTTCATATGAATATTTTAAAAATATAAGAAAATTCAATATTTTCAAATATATTTTTAAATAAAAATATTTTGATGAGAAGAATGAGAATATAAAATTCTCATAAAATAAAATGTTTTTTTATAATATAAAAATAAAATAATACTTTTTTACGTATAATTTCATATTATAATTTCTCTTAATTTTGAAAAATAATCATCTAAAATTTTAACCTTTTAAAAGTCAAGAAATATATAAAATTAAAACATATACATTTAAAGTATATTATTGTTTTTGCGTGTCATCTCCGTTGCTAGAAAGCAATTTTTTTTTTTGTTTATTTTTAAAGAAACGACGTTCTATTATCTCATAAATGTTGATGACAGAGTTTTAAGAATCCGGAACTGTAAAACAAACAAATTATTAAATATAGTTACTCAAATTTTTTTATTAATTTTATATTTTACTTCATTCCATGTTTTTCATTGATTGAATTTATTAAATATTTTGATTGAAATCAGCAATAAATATATTATAGTCTTCTCGTAACACCAATATTTTTGTAGTAGATAGAATTATTTCAGAAGGAAATTTACTTTTGTAGAAGAAAAGTTTTAATTCTAAATATGTAACTCATAAATTATAGCTTATTAATTAGTTGTTCATTGAATGATTTTTTAAATTTAAGTAAAATTTATCAGTAAAACAATTAAATAGAATGGTATATTTTTACTCTTAATAATATATGTTAATTATATTAAATAATTTTTTGAAAACAAGTCCTTCAAGTTTAATAAAAAATATATAAAATATGTTATTTAAATCAAGATGCATTAATTTTGTTGATACGATGTTTAAAAAATTCAAATTATGATTTAATAATATTATAATAATTTTTATCTTTCAATTAAAAATTTGAAAAATATTTTAATATATAATATTATTATACTATTTATAACATGAGAGTTATCCAACTTCATCACTTCAATCAATAAAATAAAATTAATTTGTATCTTTTTACTTTTAAAACACCATTCTCCAATACAAATTATTATTATTTTTTCAAATACATTCCTTAAAAAATAATATCATTCAAAATCGATTAGAATTTGAAACTGAACTCCAACTAGACATGCTTTTCTAAAATGGAAATCATGTTATCAGCATGAAACACCACTTTGCAGCCATGGGTTCATAAAAAGTTGTAGCTTTTGTCAATCGACTTGATCTTTTAGACTTTTGCGTTAACTTCATTAATTCCATTCTTTTAGTAATTATTGCTTTTCTGTGTTTTGATTGTGATGATCTAATATACAATTAATTAAACAAAAAATGGAATTATTGAAGTTTGTAAATTAATAGCTGTTAGGTATAAAATTATTAAAAGCTTCAAAATGCAAAATGCACCGCCATTAAGATTTCTCTTTTTCTTTCTTAATGTCTTCGACATTGCTGCCTAGGTTTGATTTTGTTAACATCAAATTTTAAAAAAATTTATAATGTTTATTAAATGAATAAGTATTTGTTATATTTATTATATTTTAAATATAATAAATATTAATTTAAAAAAATAGAATTTTAAATATTTAAATCAACTCTACATTTTTTTTCTTAATATATACATAACCCCCATACTGGTCTAAATTAATATACGCGTTTGAACGAATATTAAATATTTATTCTCCAACTTCCTTGATTAAGTTGTTTTACTCCGTTTTATGCTTCTACGTTAATTAAATCCATGAGAAAACGTGCACAACTTTGTCACTTGTTCAGTATTATTCATAATTATAAACTCACTAAATAATTTTTTATATAATTTTTCCTGGTGGAAAAGCAAATGATTATGTTTCATTGGCGTGTAATAGAGTGGCAGATTCATTCCCTAGCTATGATAATATTGTTTGATTAACTATATCATCTTTAATTACTGTCCAATTGTTAAACTTTGATCTATTTGTTAATTACGTTTATTTTTTCAGTTTTTTTATGATACGGCCAAAGAAGTATAATAAGAAGTCAAAAAATTTAAAAGTATTAATTAAAAACATTTATTATACGATAAAAATACATAAAGAATTAAATATTTATTTTAAAATATTCAAATTAAAAGAACAATCACTATTAGAAAGAACTATCCAAATTCGCATGTGAAATGTCAACTCCGTTCCATCTTATATTACATGAAATATGATAATATTATTTTTATGTTTGTTAGGCAGGAAAATTTGAAAGAAAGAAGAAAATATGATTATGTTCCTTTCTCATATTAAAGAGTTATTAATCATCATAGAAAGGTAAAATTTGAAATGTCAAATGAATTGAATATATTTTATTTTTCTATCATACACTCATTCAGTTTATAGAATGGCATTTATTTCCTTCGTTAAGTTTATTCTTTCCAAATCAAAAATTCGCTATCTTTATTTACTAAAATTAAATCTAATTACTTATGTAAAAGCTTGGAGAATGATTATGTAAATACATTTAAAATTATTAAAAAATGGTTAATGATATCATGAAAGGAAAAATATTACAAGAAACGTATTTGGGGGGGGGGGGGGTTATTCCTTCTTTTTATTTATAAATATTACTTTATCTCTCTCCTTTAAATCACTAACATTTAAAGTTTATTTTATAATATAGGATAAGTAACTGGTTTAATTACTCGTGCGATATGCATAATATTTATTTTTAATATTAAATATAATTAAAATTATATTTTATAGTTAAATGTTAGGGAGATGATAATGACACGAGATCCGGTTGTAGAAACTTTGTTTTACATCATATTAAGCATTTGATTGGAATATGTTAGACTATGGATAACTATGCAAATAAAAAACTTTATTAATTGTGATTATTGGCTTCAAGGATACGTAGTAGATTAAATATCTATGTTAAAAATTTAAAAAAGTATTTTATAATATTATTATAATAATATTTTTGGAGCGAAATTTGTTACTTTAGGAAATAAATAAGAATAATTTTAATTATTAATAAACATTTAAGGAATAAAATTATGATTTATTTGAAACCAAATGTTTGTTTTGTGAATCAATTGTCAGCATATTCAAGAAACGTGACACTCGTGGCCTTTAAGGTTTAACTAACTAGATGCTAGGCAGTGCATTTTTATCGATTTAAATGAAAATGAAATTGCGTAATTAAGTTTGGGGTGTGATTTTCAGTTGTGAAACACATGAATACTATAAATTGAATATTCACGGGAATGGCTTATGTTTTTGTTTCTTTTGCCTCAGAAGGAAAGGTGCATGAATGACTATTCATTTTTTCCATTATCTTCTAATCTTTTGTTTTTTCTAGCGCTCCATTTACGTAAGGCTGATATTTTTTAAAATCATGATAATTATTTCGATACGAACATAAATAAGACAAGCCAAATATTTGGTTGATTGCTATTCAATATTTCTTTTTATTTTCTATTATCCACTAAAACTCATCTTCTTTCATACATGACTCCAATTTTAATATTTTTTTAGAAAAAAATTTATAAAAGGAGAAAAATGATTAAAAAATATTTTTTATAAATTAAAAATAACTTATTTTATTAAATTTTAGAGAAGTTAAATGAGTGAGCTTTTTATAAACTAATATAAAAGTGTGAGTTGATTTTAACTTATAAAAGAAGTATAATTTATTTTATTACTTAATTTTTTAAATTTTTATAAATACTTATTAAGAAGTTTATTCCAAGTAAAATCATGATAGGAAAATATTAAAATACTCTCTTTCACCTTTTAGTGATATTGAATTATAAAAGGCAGTGTCAGCACTAGTTAGGTTAACAAGCATATTTTGTAATTTCATAAAATTAGGACATATTTAAGTAAAATCAGCAGATAAATTAGATGAAAGTTATAAAATACAAATATATATATATATATATATATATATTTTTTTTTTTTTTTTTCGAAACCACTTGTATCAGTCAAATAAAATTTACTTTACTATATCTCTTGTCGTAGAGTTCAGTAAAAAGAAACAGCATACATATTAATTAAGATGCACATAATTAAATTAAAAATCCGATATTAATTTTTACAGTGCAATAATTCAAGGTCGAAAATCTGTGTCTTGTCGCATGACTATAATTATTTCTGAATATGGAGCAATTATCAATCAGCGCATGTCTGTCTTAGATAAATTTTAGAAAAATAATTATTTTTTCAAGTTTTATAAAACCGAAGATTTTATGTCCTTAGCATAAAATAAAACGAAATACGAACTAATTCTTTCCTTCATTTAGAGTCTATGCAGCTTTTCTTTGGATTTCTTCAACATCAATAAAATAAAAAGAGAAAAAAAAAGAAAGGAAGAAAGATTATTGCTTTAACAAATTGTCGTCGTTGAACTTATAACATGTTTAATTCCTCACAGTTCATGCAACGCTGGTAGCTTAATTTCTAACAAACCAATTAATTAGCCTAATCCAAAGTCTAAAAACACGTTAACACCAAGGAATGTCGTCCCCTACACTGCAATGAAAACATATTCCATCTTTATCTCTTTCTCCCAGTTTTGAACAGTTGCAGTGAAAACCGAAAGGGATAAACAAAAGGTCATGACAACTACGAATCAACAGTTCAAAGAAAAGGAAAAAGATAACGGGGAATGTTTTACGCGACATGATAGCTGGCGAATTGAAACAAGCAAAGTAACGTGTAATCTTTCTATCAACATCATCGGTAACAAGGTATATATCATTACTATTACTCTCAATTTATTCTTCCCGTGTCACATAGATAAAGTGATAATAACATGTGAAATTGAAGTAACAAATTCTTTATAATATATAAGAATAAAATGCATGCAACTAATATGTAGTATATATAACATTTTACATCCCCTCATAGTAATTATCTCATTTCAAATTGAAATTATTCCACTTTGAAAATGATGCCCAGTGATAGAGACGAAGAATTGCCCTACATTACATCAGATGAAGTCAATGACTATCTAGCTGAATACACATTAGAAGGTAAATGGTACAAGGTCGTTGAAATGTACTATGAATTCCACGATGCTCACACCGCAATGATCAACGAATCAGTGGGCACAGCACTACACGTGGCCGTTGATTTGGACGAAGAAAGCGTTGTTAGGGATCTTATCAACGCAATCATAACTCATCACGTTAACGTTGTGTCACAAGAGATAACGAGGCAAGAGGGTCAACGAAGTGCAAAGATTAAGGCTCTGGAAACGGTGAACGAGCGAGGGGATACCCCTCTACACGTGGCAGCATCAAGGGGCTTTGCTAAAATATGTAGATACATTATAGGGGAAAATAATGAGAGGATATATTTGGCGAGTAGGAAGAACAAACATGGAGAGACACCACTGTTCCAAGCTGCTATTAACTGGCAGAAACAAGCCTTTGCTTATCTCTCTCACATTTCCAGAAACAGTGCTCCTTTGGCTGATCTTGTGCGTGACAATGGTGACACCATTCTTCACTGTGCTATTAGGAGAGAATATTTCGGTATGTTACTTTCTTTCCTGCTACACATTCATCTTAACTTCAATTTTTTTGGTAAGTTTCATGATTTAAGGTGTATTTGGTTATATAACTTAATTAACTGTTTGTTTTGATGTATGTTTAAATTCATGTTAAAAGATTTGTAAATGTGAATTTAAGATAAAAGTTATAATAATAACATTAAAGGAAATGTGAAACTATAAACATATTATCAATGAGTTATTTTTATATGATATATAATTTATGTTATAAATTTAATCATAAAATTTATTAAAAAATGATTTATTTTAATAAATTTTAAATACGATTATCAATTTCAGTAAATATAATTTTTTTAATTCAAGAATGAAAACCATTAATAATTGTAATTTCAAGATTTTAACGATTTGTTCGTTTAATTGGATTGAATTGTAATAGTTTTTTCATCAGTTTTTAAAACAAACGTTTATTTTTATAATTTAAGCTAAACTTAACACACAGTATATATTAGACAAAGAAGATATTTTGTGTTTTATTTTTGTTGTTAAATAACAGTACGCTTTACTGATTTCTTAATTTCTTGCTACATATGGCGCAGATTTAGCAGTGACAATAGTGCATTATTATGATTTCCTAAGCACACATATGAATAAAGACGGATTCACTCCTCTCAAAATCCTAGCCACTAGGCCATCGGCTTTCAAAAGTGCAAGCCACCTTTCATGGTGGAAGCGAATCCTGTACCACTGTAAGTCATATATACTGTAAAATCAGCTAGGTATATATATTTTAGTCTCGGATTTAACTTGGGCGTGTTTTTTAATATATTAATTTGGTTAGAATAGGATATTTAGACAGGAGGCATATTAAATAAGAGGATATTTGTTACTAGAGAGCGAAGAATAAATCTTTAAATCTTATTATGAATAGTGAAAACAAAATATAATTTTAACTATTCATATATACCCTTTTAAAAAAAAACTTTTAATTTTAAGTAGAAGAATAGTAACAACTAAATTTTATTGCACTAAATTGGGTTGACTATATGAATGAAATATGTAATTAAGTTTGATTAAAAAAATTAAATTTTTAAAATTTTGAAATTTTAAGTAATTACAGGAAATTTTATTAATTTCTCTATAAATTTTTTATCAAGACAATTAACTAAATTCATTTCATACTTTTTCAATATGTAAAAATTGAAATGAATAGTGTACTTTTCCGCATGAAGTACAGTGACAGCATGTAAAAATTCCATCTACTATGTGCTTTTCCTTCTTTTGTCAAAAGGTATACTTACAGAACCACTGGATCCTGAAAAAGCAATGAAGTCGAATTTGGGAAAGATGGAGAAGCGTCCGAATTCTGATAAAGATAAATATCCAAAGAACTACGCCACACTATATGACTTCTTCTCTGAAGCGTTCAATGTTGGTTCTCTATTAATTGGTATGTGAACGGGTTCTTACGATAACCCGTCTTTATTAGTACTTAATATTTACTCAAACATATTTTATTGCATGTCTCAACAGATACAACATCATACGGATATTGGTTCTCCAAAAGGGGCAAGAATTTAACTTGAGCATAAAGAAGGAATCTGATCTTATAAAATATACTAACCTTTAAAGGTTTTTAGATACCTTAAAAGTTAAGTAACCGCATATTGTGAAAGTATATATATACTCCAGTATATATAACCTTTTTTTGTATAAAATATTTTACGGGGAGAGGAAAGGGTGCCCAGAAGATATATGAAATGTACGTTTCTGGATTTAAAAAATATTTTGGACTTATAATTGTGTAAAACTAAGTTTTCTCATATTATGTAAGCATATAATCTTATAAAATGCATGCATACTAGTAACATTTTCTGCTTATTAGTATTTTGTTTTTAGCATGTGTCACTTTTTAATTGGAAGTAAGCACATATGAAATAAAAACAGGTCATTTGGTTCCGTTTAACTCATGCATGCTTCTTCCTTCACGCAGAAGATCAATTATATGTAAGAAAAACGACAAAGAAGGTTGATCATCTTGTTAAAAAGTTTTTAAAAATGCAAAAAATAATAATAAAAGTGTTGAACAAAACTTGGGGGCCTTAAAAGCTGCAATATGTGTGTACTCTAATCCTCTTCGGTTTGTATTTTGTTCTTATGATTCTTCATACATTTCGAATTGTTCTGGGAAGATATCAGAGAGGACAACAATTAGAGTAATACATGTTGGTTGGAACATTTTTTTTGTTGTATTGGGAGACTAGTTTAGCAAAATATCTTTCGTACCCATCTTTCTTTTTTGTCAGGCAAAATACCTACGAAAAAGAATAAGCATGACACAGAAGACCCACCAAACAATAAACAGACGAACTGTACAATAGGATTCGGAACTCCTCATGAGGTTGGGTTTTTGCCACCAAACTATGAAACTTTTCAACAATTTGTCAAGAGTGCATACGTGCATATTCTTGGACTGTCAGGAGTGGGTATGTGTTCATATTTCTTGATCTATTGCTAGCCTACTTGTTTATTGTTGATATTCCATAAGATGGTTTAACATTTTTGCTCCGATTTCAATGCACCAACATTTTAAGAGTTAAAGGATGTAAAGAAGATAAAAAAGAGGCATCAATGGAGTGGTCAACTCTTGAAGGCACTAATGAAAAGACCTTATGCAGCATACACTGGGGGTGGAGGTGTACCCACTGATATCAAAGTTGAAGCAGATATGTATAATGTTTATAGCCAATATAAGCAAGGTATGTATGTATAACATATAACTTCTCCCTCAGTTCTTGAAATTTCTTACTTCTTTTATATAACCTCAATTTTGAGTGCAAAACTTAATCCTTATATTTTCTTGGGTTATGTACTTTCAAGTATTCAATTGTTGAAGTCATAAGAATTTTATCTTAAGTAGACAGATATAATTAAGATGTTATATTAAAAAATATATCAATTTTTTATTTAACCTTTTATAAATAAAATATTATTAGTACAACTAAGATGGAATAATTTATTCCATTTGTTAATTTAGACAAATCCGTATTCAATATATAAGAAGAAGAAGAGGAAAAACATTTAATTAGCTTTTGATGGTTAACTTGGCGCTGGCAGGAGAAATTAGCAGCTTGGAATGGTTGGAAGAAGATGAAGAAACACCACAACAAGCGAGTGGTGGAAAAACAGAAACTTCAAGTGGAAGTGACACAAAGAAGGAAATGGAGCTTGAAAATGAGAAGAAAATAGACAAAAAGGAGACACCATTTTTGGTTGCAGCAAGAAATGGAATAGTTGAAATGGTGAATGAGATTCTATCTCGAATACCAAGTGTCATCCATAACACAAACTCAAAGAAAGAAAATGTGTTGCTTGTGGCAGTGGTGAACAGGCAACCCCTTGTTGTTCAGAGTTTGAAAATGAGAATGGAGTCAAAACGAGAAGTTTGGAATAACTTACTTTTGGCAGTAGATGAAAACGAGAACACCATGTTGCACTTGGCAGCATACGCTCCAGGTGGTGATAAGCCATGGCAGATAGCTGGATCTGCCTTACAAATGATGTGGGACATAAAGTGGTTTCAGGTATATACCCAAACCTATATATATAATAAGGCTCTTTGCTTGCCAATTACTGCTCACATAAATGAGTTCAGATTTTGTTTGAAGTTAATTTTAGAAAGAAAAATAAATTACATAATAGTAATTCTTGTTTGAAATGTAAGAAATAAAAGTTTTTTTTTTTAATTTTCCAAAATTTGCTAAGTTTATATTTTTAAGTTTTTAAAAATTATGAATTTTTTATAATATTTTTCTTTTTTCTTTTTTTAATTCCCACCAATGCCCAAAAAATTAATATTGTTTTATTAAAAAATATTTTTTTAATTTCAATTTTTATAAAAGAGTTTAAACATATAAAAATAGTAATTTTTATTAAAAATATAAACCCTTTTTCAATAATAATTTAGTACTTTTAATTTTCATCTCAACTCTAGAGACCAAAGTTAACATTTTTTTGTTATAAATAATGAAGGGGTTGCGTTGAAAATCATGACAAGATTCATTGATAATTTATTTTTTCATGTAGAAGTGTTTTATATATTAAAGTGATATGAAATTGAAACCGGTGTTTTGATTCCTTGTTAGAAGGGTAGATGAAAGTATGGCCAAACATTAAAATAGGAAGAACTTCTCACCCAAAATTTCATTAAGAAAACAAAACTATCATCTATATATATATATTCTTCAGAAACAAGTAACTACGTACTTTCATAACACAACTTATATAAATGTTGATCCTTTTTATTATTTAACCTTGGAGCAGTATATCAAAAGCCTCGTACCACAACACTTCTATTTTAGAAGTGACAGAGATGGGAAAACCGCTGGGGAAATTTTCAAGGACTCGCATAAAGATCTTGTAAGGGAAAGTAGTGAATGGCTGAAGGAGACATCTGAATCATGTTCTGTTGTAGCTGCACTTGTTGCTGGTGTTTCCTTTGCTACAGCAAGTGCTATCCCTGGTGGCACCAACGACGAGGGTAAGCCTAATTTAGAAGGAAAGCCGGCATTTGATGTATTCGCTATTGCTTCATTAGTTGGACTATGGTTCTCTGTCACTGGTCTCATAATGTTCCTTTCGATACTCACTTCTCGAAAAGAAGCCAAAGATTTTCGCAAAGACTTGCCACTGAAACTTCTTCTTGGCTTAAGTTCTCTCTTTGTATCCATTGCTGCAATGTTTGTTTCTTTTTGCACTGGTCATTTTTTTCTGCTTAGTCACAAGTACAAGATGGTGTTGTACCCCGTTTATGCAGCTACTAGTTTGCCTGTGACTTTCTATGCCGTGGCACAGTTTCCACTATACTTTGATCTTCTAACAGCAATTTTAGTTAAGGTGCCACTGGCGAGCGATAAAGGTGACAATTTATAGGAGATTCTGCCATATCATTGTTGGAGCAGCACTTAGCTTGGTCTGGTGTTGGATTCATGCGTTAATCTTTTTTTATTTTTGACTTTTCTTTTTTGTGTTACGTTTGTGTTTGAGAAGAGGTGTGAGCATGTTCTTGGGGTGAAAATCAAACAAATACGGTGTTGCTTTTTTTGCATTATGAGGTTTGAAATTAATGCTTTTGAATTGTAGAAATTTTGTGTTGGTTGTGCTGTAAACTTTGTGTTGGTGGAGAACTGTTTGAGCACATTCTCGGCGTAACGCCGCGAATAATTTTGAATATTTCAACTTATAGTAAATTCTATGCTGTAGTAATTTCTGTGTCACGTTCACATTAAATTGCATTCTTTCGTTAGACCATGGCTACAAACTGTCTTTGATCAATGGTCATAGTAGAGACAACTTATAATCGAGGATTTTATTCTACCAAAAGATGAAATAAATAAATAAAAATACTAGAAATCTACTAGATCCAACAAAATAAAGCGAGAAGGAAAAAAATGCATAGGATTTGGTAATTTGTCATTTAGGAAATGAAAGTAATCAAATTACCCACTATAAGAAGCAATGGAATAATTAGAAAACCAATGTTTGCTGGTCTCGTTCCTATATCTTCTATTCAATTTTCCCTATCGATAAAATTTCATCTTGCTGTTTTTTATTTAGGTATAGATCCTATCAAGTTGTTGGAGTAGGAAGTAAATTAGAATGAGTTCACCACTTTCATGGCTTGAAATCTAGGCTCCTTAGGCTGGAACTTGAGCGTAGCATAGAGCTTCATGTAATCCTCAAACACAAATTTTGGGTACACTTGGTCGGTATCCTCTGCTTTTGTCTCCAACAATGATGATGCAGGGTAGATAACAGCATCATTGGCAGGGTTATAGAATGATGCTACGGACATTCTTGTTCCATTAGTTTGAGTTATCACACGATGCTCCACACTCTTGTATTTTCCATTCGTGATTACCTGTGTTGTTTGATAGATATTAAGAACCAGATAATTATAACAACACTTGAGGACATTAGTGAAGAACTTATATATAATATAATAAGAAAAGATACCTCAATCTGGTCACCAAGGTTAACAACAATGGAGTGGCGCATTGGAGGGACATCGACCCATTGGCCATCCTTGAGAAGCTGAAGGCCACTGACCTTATCATCTTGCAAGAGAAGGATAATACCACCCGCATCCGTATGGGCACGAAGACCCTTAACCAGCTCTGGCTTCGGACACTCAGGGTAGTTTGCCACCTTTGTCCCAAAATTTGGACCCTTGGATCCATAAAATGCCTTCTTTAGGTACCCTTTCTCTAACCCAAGATTTTCGCACAACAGGTCTAGCAACTCCTCCGCAAGTTTCTCTAACTTCTTCGCAAATTCCTTCATTGCATCCCTGCATCATTTTTACCTCATTCAGTTCAGACTCCTAGGTCCATGTGTACACAATATCATGTGTCACAATTATATCTGTGTTTATAATTTGTGTCTTACCTGTACTCTTGGCTGAGATCAGGGATTTCAGAGATGTTGGAGTTTGGGAGGTGGCGCAAGAAAAATGTGGTCTCCCAATCCATGTCCTTTACTTGTTCAGGTTGAACACCCTCTAACCCCTTGCTTGCCACTACCTCCTTGAACCTCTGCTCCATGCATTTCCTATAATGCTCCTTTGTTAACCTTTCCACAGTGTCCAAAAGTTCAAGGGGTATTCCATGATTCACCAACTAAAATTATGAAAACAAACATAGTTAATATGGCTAAAAGGCACAACTTAAAAAGAGAATTTTCGTGAGCAGGTTGGTGGGGGTACCTGGAAAAACCCCCAGTTCTTGCAAGCATCATCAATTTGCTCTAGGATAGACTTCCTCTCCTCACCAATTCCATTGATATTCTCCAAGTTGATAACGGGAAAGTTCTCCATCTCTCACGCTTTTTCCTCTCTTTTACTTCTCTGAGAAATCTTAGTGTGTTTGTGTATGCATATTGGGATGGTAGGGGTGTGGCATTTATAGGAATGCAAAGAGTACAGTGAGGAGAAGACGACAAGTGAAATTGTAGTGTGTGCCTCATGAATCGTGAAATGCATGCTTCCGTAGGCCCATCCATGGCGCAATCATTTTGCGTAGTTGAATTGTCTACTTTGGTAGCTTTGGACTTATCTGGAGGCCAACTTAGCCTTCCATGTATTTTCCCTTTATTTGTTCTATGGTGTTTCACCATTTAATTTCCTAGAAGGTGGCACAAGCAAATGAAGTTTCAGAATTTAGCAGTATTTTTGTAATGATTATTAACAAAATCTGTAATTTTTCTGTTAACTGCATGAGTATTAATAAATTAATAAATTTTAAAAGTAAATATTTAAATTATTAATAATAAATGTTATGTATATTAAATAAATAAATTATGAAAATTTTCAAAACTCAAATTAATATACGTAGAAAATATTACTTAACATGATTAAAAGGAATAACCCTTAAATAGAACTCCTAAAAATAATTTTGTTTAAAAATTAATATTCATTTATGCGTAGAAGTTGATCTTTTATGAAAGCTTGTTTATAAACTAGAGTAGTGATAGATTTAGCAAGGTATAATTGGTAGCGCCGACAAAACCGGACAATTTACCTTTCTCTCTCGAGAGCCTATTAAAAACTAGGTCACATTGACTTCTCTTATTAGCTAATTATCAGGCCTTTAGAAATAAATCAAACCTACAAATAATTTTAAAAAATTAAAACAAAAACTCATAAAAGATATTAAAATAATTTAAATTAACGAAACAATTGGGACGGATTAAAATGAGGTGAGCTGGGAGAGTTAATGGGTGTAAAATTTCGTATAATTTGTTATTTTATGTGACTTTTTTTATACGAGAACAAATGAATAAATATTAATGATATTTTATGAATTTTTATATAATTAATTTTTTTGAAAATTCTATATTTTAATATATATTAATTATTTTTAAATATCATATAAAAATAAAAAACCGAATTAAACAACCATCACACGTATTCTCTTAGATTAGTGACAGTCACAACTATAAATAAATATTAATATTAAATTCTTTAAATTTAAATATATTTCGTGATCATTAACTTCAAATTACTGAGTATTCTTGCCATGTAAAACAAACATGTATTTTTAATACCCACAAAAGTTTACCTATACCTGTAAAATTTGTTAACATTTATAGGTTACAATTTATAAGCATAACAATAGTCATTGTTTCTAACTTTTATAGAAATTGGGCGCCATTAATTGAACATGATTACTGAACAATTTCTTTTTTTCCTAAAAAAATTATTGATACAAATTTAGTTTTGTTTTTATTCTCGTAGCCACCAATCAAAGAAAAACGTGCTCATTAGAGTCTCTTCATCGTACTTTTTTTTCAGCATAAAAATTAAGATTGTGTTTAGATAAATTTTTAAATAAATATTCATAAAAATAAAAATAATAAAGTAACATTTACAAAAATTAAAATTAAATTATTTGTTATATTTAAAAGAAATTAAAAAAGATAAAATAATTTCCATTCAAAGAATAAAAATTAATTAATTTTTTATAATTTTGATCAGGTTTATTTATATTTGAATCATACTACCAAGTTGTATAAAATTCTTTTTATGTGCCTTTAAAACGTCCAAGTTCGTAAATTGAATATGTTCATTTAACGTAAAGAATCGAAGGCTGCCACGGGTATGCGGACAGTGTACTAACACTATTGACACGTGAGGAAATAAATCAGGTGACAAGGAAATAACACCAGACGGTTGGACCAAACTATCCTCGTCAACAAATTAGAAATAGAAAAGGTATCAATAATAATAATAATAAAATTGATCCATAAATCATTAATTAATTTTTTATGTTATATTAGACTTAATTTATTTTAAAAAAATTTCATTAAATAATTTGATTGATAAAATCTAACGTGTATAAAGAATTGTAAAGTAAAATAATTTTATTATATATAGTTTTAATAAGGTTAGGTTTAAGTATTTATAAATAAATAAAATTTATAAAATGTTTCATATTTATTATATTAAAATTATACAGAAAATATCATATATACTTTATTTTTTAATAATTTTTTACTATTATTAATTTCTTACCTTTAATTTTAACGATTGATGTTAACATAAAATATTAAATTTAAATATTTACCATAAAAAGTATAAGATTAATTAATCTAACTGTTATAGCTGCTAACACATTAACAGTGAACCAAACCCGCAACCGAATTCTTCAACTGGGAGTGAAAGATGTGTGGAGATGGACATACCGGCAGAGCTAGAGGTTGTGAAGATGTATTATACATTCCCAGAGACTCACACTTGAATGATGGACGATTCCATGGGCACTGCCTTGCATGTGGATGAAGAAGGTGTTGTTGAAGAGCTTCTGAATGCAATTGTTACGCTACACAAACTGTTTGCAAAGGGATTGTTCTTGTTTGAATGTATCTACTTCTTTTAAGAGTTAACGAGATGAAGAAGAAGCACCCATGGAGTCGTCAACTCTTCACCGCACTGTTGGAAAGACCTTACCTGCTTACACGGGAACCCGATGGGGGTACCCTCGTCTCGTCGTTAAAAAAGCATATTTAAATTATTTTTTTTAAAGACTGGCAGGTATGCGTGTTAATATATTATATATTTTTTTATGTGTAAAAATATTATTATTATTAATTTTATATTAAATATTTATAATAGATATTAGAGTTAATTGTTTATCAAAAAAGCATAAATATTTTTTTAATTTTTAAAATGTTAAAATAATTACAATCATCAGTTTTAAAAAGGTATAAGATATTTTTAAAAATTTATGAGGACACTAACAAACACTTTTTTTTATTATAATATAAGAATTTTAAAAAATATTTTTTATTAAAAATAAATTTTTTTATTATCTTAAAATTATAAAAAATATTTAATATATATTGTTATAATATTTAATAAATTTAACGTGTGTTTTTTCTTAACAGAAAAACTCAAGTATATATTATCTCTCATTTTTATTCAAAGATAGAGAAACAAATTGTATTGTGCATTGCGTTTGTTAACATTAATTTTTAATTTTGATTTTAGGTACTTGAAACTAGATTTAAACAACGCACCTGTTATAACATTTTTAATATAATAAATAGTTTTTAATAAAAATATACTACTTTTAAATAAATGATTGAATTTAGTTCTTATATTATTTTTTAAAAATAAATAACTAAAGTAAAAAGTAGTAATTTTCAGTTGATTTCACAGTTAGGAATCTGAACTTTTTAATGTAATAACAGAGCTTGAAATTTTCTTTTACTGTATTTGAAAAGGATGAGTTTTGTGAAAAAGTTTTATTTTTCAAATAGAAAAGTTATTTGTTAAGACATTATTATGTTTGTTATTAGAAAAAGAACTGGCACCGGACATTGAAACTGGCGACGGATTTAAATGGTTATTCGAAGAAGAAGAAGAAAATGAATGAGAGAGGGACAGTGAAAAGGAAATTAACTTGAATTAAAAATGAGACAAAGAAGGGAACCAAACAGAAAGTAATTGACAAAAGATAGTGCATACTGGTGAAAGTCTCAATCGTGTTCTGCTGTGGCTGCACTTGTTGCTGGTGCTTCCTTCGCTACGGCCAGCACTATCCCTGGTGGCAACAACCAAGAAGGTTTACCCACATCTGAAGACCAACCTGCACTCCACGTAACCAGCCAATCATTTTAGCAGAGATTTGCCACTCAAACTTCTTCTTGGACTTAGTTCTGTGTTCGTATTCAATGCAATTAGTTCTGTGTTCGTATTCATTATTGCATTGATTGTTCTTTCTGCACTGGCCATAATTTCATGCTTAATCACAAGTTAAAATCGCTCCTATTGCCCATTTATGCAGCCACTAGCTTGCCTGTGATTCTCTATTCCGTGGCACAGTTCGTATTATACTTGCATCTTCTAATGGCTACTTTTCGTGAGGTGCCACGCTCAAGGGATAAAGGCAACGGTTTGTAGCAGCTTTTACCTTGTCTTTTTTAACTCTACTTTTATCCGTGTGGTAGATGTTGTTGGATTGATGTATTATTTATTTTTTAAGCTTTGACAGAACCTTTTTATTTTTTCCAATTTTCTAATTATAACTGTCCTAACTGTCTTTGCCCTTTTCAGTGCTGTTATGTTTGTGTTTATGCACTAATCTGCATATTCTTGGGATAAAAATTCTTATGCATTCCATTAGTTCGTTAGACCATCGCTACAAACCGTCTTTGGTCACGGTAACTTGCAATCTCAGTTTTTATTTTGCAAAAAAATGGAATAGATATAAGAATTACAGAAAATCTACTAAACCCAGAATATATGAGAGATGGAACAAAAATAAAGAATATTATTAAAACAATTCCGTCCTTTATTTAATGAAAGCAATCGAATTAATGCAGTACAAAGCAATTGAATAATTAGAAAACCAATCTTCCCATGTTAACAAGATTTCATATAGTGATATATCGTATAGGTATAGCTCCAATTAAGTTGTTGGAGTAGGAAGTAAATTAGAATGAGTTCACGGCCTTCATGGCTTGAAATCTAGGCTCCTTAGGCTGGAACTTGAGCGTAGCATAGAGCTTCATGTAATCCTCAAACACAAATTTTGGGTACACTTCATCGGTTTCCTCTGCTTTTGTCTCCAACAATGATGATGCAGGGTAGATAACAGCATCATTGGCAGGGTTATAGAATGATGCTACAGACATTCTTGTCCCATTAGTTTGAGCTATCACACGATGCTCCACACTCTTGTATTTTCCATTCGTGATTACCTGCGTTGTTTTAACAAAGTGATGGATATTAAGAACCAAATAATTATAACAACACTTGAGGACATTAGTGAAGAACTTATATATAATATAATTAGAAAAGATACCTCAATCTGG